GAGTGTCAAAATTCCCCCTTTTTGGCCAGAAAAGCCTGAAATTTGGTTTTTTTTTCAAATAGAAGCTCAATTCGAAATTAATGCAACAACTGTTGATAGTACCAAATTTAATTACGTAGTTTCTCAACTAGAGCCAAAATATGTTGAAATTATTTGGGATGTAATTACGGATAAAACATCTGGTAATAAATATGCTTTAGTTAAAGAAAGACTGTTAAACACATTCAAAGAGAGCGAAAATAAGCGAATTAAACGCTTAGTCACTGGCCTTGACCTTGGGGATATGAAACCCAGTCAGTTACTTCAAAAAATTAGATCGCTCGCTACTGATGACGTTTCAGATAAAGTACTCAAAACATTATGGTTAGAAATAATGCTTGACTCGATAAAAAATATTTTACTGGTTTCCGATGAAGGGTTAGATAAAATAGCTTTAATGGCCGACAAAATAATGGAAATGAATTCAAAGCCTGAACTTTATTCCTATGGCAAAAATTTAAATTCGGTTGATGAGTTACTACTAAAAATTTCGTCTCTGGAAAAACAAATAGAAACTTTAAGTGTTTCTCGCCACTCTCGGTCTCGGAATCGTAGTAGCGATAGATACAGAGAGCGAAGTAGAAGTAATAAACGTAAAAGATTTAATCCAAATGGAAAGTATTGTTATTACCATTACATGTTTGGCTCAAATTGCAATCCAGAAAAGTGTCAACCTAATTGCTCTTGGGGTCAAAAGAAGTCGGAAAACTTAAACCAGCAGCGGAATTAGCGGCTGATTTTGCTGCAGGTTATGTTCAGGGTGGCCGCAAACACCGAATATTTGTGACTGACAAACACACGGGTTTGCATTTTCTAATTGATTCCGGCGCAGATGCTTGTTTATTACCTGCTACAAAAAAAGATACACTTCAAAGTGACTTCAAATTATATGCCGCTAATGGCACAGAAATTCCCACTTATGGGGTAAAATTTTTAAAGCTGATCTTGGCCTTCGCCGAGCTTTTTGATGGCCATTCATTATTGCTAAAAATACTAAAGGCATAATCGGAGCAGACATTTTGGACCATTTCAAGTTATTAATTGATTTAAAAAACAAAAGATTAATCGATGGTGTAACTAACTTTACTACTCAGTGTGACATTACATCCATCTCCAAAATGAATGATGTCAGTTTAGTACATGATAAATTAAAATATCATGATCTGTTATTCAAGTATCCGAATATTACAAAACCTAATATTTTGATAACAAATGTTAAGCATCACATTTTAACTGAAGGTCAACCGGTCTATTCCAAGCCAAGACAGCTAGACAGTAAAAAGTTACAGATTACCAAACAAGAATATCAGTATATGTTAGAAAAAATATAATCAGACGGTCTACATCTCCATGGGCTAGTCCTCTCCACTTAGTCTCTAAAAGAGATGGAAATTTTCGTCCCTGTGGAGACTATCGAAGACTTAATGCTATAACTATTACTGACAGATACCCTATCCCTAGGATTAATGATTTTAACAACATTTTAAAAGGCAAAAAGAATATTTTCCAAAATTGATCTTTTCAAAGCCTATTTCCAAATTCCTATAGCAGAAGAGGACAAACAGAAAACCGCTATAATTACGCCCATTTTGGCCTCTATGAATTTAATGTAATGAGCTTCGGATTTGCGAAGTGCACCAGCTACTTTTCAAAGATTCATACATGAAGTATTTCAAGGTTTGGACTTTACTTTTCCATATCTCGATGACATATTAATTCTTCTCTTCCTCAGAAGAAGAACACAAACATCACTTGAAACTTGTTTTCGATAGATTAGGATAAATACACGGTTTGCGAAATCAACATTTCTAAGTCGATCATAGGTGTTGATAACCCTTAGAAATTTTTAAGGATATCTTATAACACCAGAAAGGATCTCGTCCTCTACCTGAAAAAGTCGAAGCGATATTGAATTATAAATTACCGGAGACTATCCATGATTTGCGAACTTTCTTAGGGATGCTTAATTTTTATCGACCGTTTCTGAAAGATGCTGCTAAGACACAAGCAATACTTCATGACTACCTAAAGGGTGCTAAGAAAAAAGATAGAAGAAAAATTAAATGGTCAGATGAAGCTATATTTAACTTTGAAAATGTAAACAGGATTTGGCAAACGTAGCTCTTTTAAGTTATCCCAATTCAGATTTGCTCTTGTCACTATGCACGGATGCATCTGATTGGGCTATTGGTGCAGTTCTCCAACAGTTTGAAAATGGAGCATGGAAACCTTTAGCGTTTTATTCAAAAAAATTAAATAGCACTCAGAAAAATTACAGTACTTATGACCGCGAGTTACTGGGAATCTATCTTGCAATTAAACATTTTAAACTTATGTTAGAAGGTCGCGATTTCAAAATTTTTACGGATCATAAACCACTAGTTTATGCTTTCAGACAAAAGAGCGAAAAGGCATCACCAAGACAAATGCGCCAATTGCAATACATATCTCAATTTTCTACTAACATATGCCATATTAGTGGAAGTGAAAACATTGTTGCAGATCAGCTATCAAGAATAGCCGATGTCTCTATTTCCCTCATTGATTATGATAAAATTGATGACAAACAAGTTAATGATAAAGAATTACAAGATTTACAAGCTCAAAATAAAACGTTAAATTTCAAAAGCTATTTACTTCCATCTGGTAAAAATCAGTGGTGTGATACGTCTTCTTCTAACATTAGACCATTTATACCCAAGCAGTTTCGAATGGACATATTTCAACAAATCCATAGCCTCGCTCATCCAGGAATCAAGTCAACCGTTAAAGAAATGACGTCCAAATTTATTTGGCCAAATATCAAAAAGGATATACAAACGTGGAGTCGTGCCTGTATTGGTTGTAAAAAAAATAAGGTTTCACGTCTTACAAAGTCTGAATTAGAAACTTATCAGCAGCCTGATGAACGTTTTACTATAGTTCACATAGACTTAATAGGTCCTTATTCAGCATCTGATAATTTTGTGTATTACTTGACTTGCATTGATCGCTATACTGGTTGGGTGGAAGCCATTCCTTTGCGTGACATAACAGCAGAAACCGTTGCGAGAGCGTTTTATGAAAACTGGATCACTCGTTTTGGAGTGCCTTACCAAGTTATTACGGATCGTGGAGCACAGTTTACTTCTGAACTATTTCGAACCTTGGCAATTATATGTGGAGTCAAAATTCAACACACAACTTCTTATCATCCGAGTGTAACGGCAAAATTGAGAGATTTCATCGAACTTTGAAAGCTGCTATTAAATGTCATAATTCCATTAAATGGTCCGAATCCATTCCAACAATTCTTCTAGGTCTTAGGGCAGCCTTAAAAGAAGACTTTGGATATTCCAGTGCACAAATGGTTTACGGGAAAACAATAAAACTTCCTGGAGAATTTTTTGATAAACCGACAGTTTCTACAACACCTCAAACATTTTTGCATAAATTGCAAAAACAAATGGAATTGTTCAAGCCCTCAGCGGTACAGTGAAAAATTATTCCTAAAGTTTTTGTCCTTAAAGATTTGATTGTGTGTACTCACGTATTCCTAAGAACTGATAGAGTGAAGAAACCATTAGAACCTAGTTATGAAGGACCTTTCAAAGTACTTAAAAGAATGGACAAATACTTCTTGTTACAAATCAAAGGTAAGGAAGTAAACATTTCGATTGATAGGCTGAAGGCAGCCTATTGTGTCATCAGGTGAGCAAAGGCTGGAACCAGAAACTTCTGATCCCCATTCCAAGACTCCGACTTTGTTAAAATCTGAGAACAATGATGAACGATCTCGAGTCTCACGAACTGGACGACTAATAAAACGTCCTTTACGTTTTAGTAACAATGTTGAACATTTTTCCTAACCTCTATTATTGAATCTGTTTAATTGTAATTGTATTTATTTATTGTATTTAGTATTTTTAATTCTAATGTTAGCTTACGCTACATTACTCCACTATCAGAATCTCCTAAATCGTAATACAGTTACTGGAGGGGGAGTAATGTAGTTGAACATAATTTAATGTTTCTATATAATTATTAAGATTTCCTAAGGGTCAACATGATGTAATGTTTTGAATAGTTATTAAGATTCGCGGAGTGGCAACAAACGAGTCGAGCTAAAAACGTAGTTACTTCTAGCGTTCGTTGATAAGCGTTGCGTAAGCTTTATTTCTTAGAAGTTTTGTTATATTTTTATGTAAAAATAAGTAACATGTTGCAAACAAGAATGGAAACTAAAAAAATAAATATGCTGTTTCTTTTAAGAGCAAAATAAGCATTTATTTCAATTATGAAATGCTCTGGCTGATCAGTTTCGATTTCGCTTATTCGTCAAATTCACAAACCTATGTATATCTCAAAAGTTTCAGAGTGACCCTCGTATGTTAAATTAAATGTATATTTTATTTTAAAACATTACATTATTGCTTCGCTTGTCATTAATCCTAAAAATATTTGAAATATTAATATATTTTTAGAGTAAATAAATCGCTTTTAAAATCTGAGTTCGAGTTAATTATAAAGTAGCTCTAATAAATACGGGGGGAATTATATACTGTATTAGCGTCGTTGTTATTTCTTATATTCAAACGCTTATCTAACATTTTAAATGATCTCTGCAAAGCAATTATTAAAATTATTACATGTGTGGCGAAGATTTTCACTAAAGGATCATTAACTAAAGTTCCTATAGTCATTCGTCCAGAAAGTACCTAAAAATTATTTTAATTAGACCATATCTGCACTTTTAACACCAAAACATATAGACCCACTAGCGGCCGAGCGGTAAAGTCGCTAAAAACTGGTAGCTTGGTTCGATGTTCGAATTCAGCGAACGGGCCGGCTGTATGGGCGTTTTCGTGGTTTTTCCCATGTGTGACGTTTATACGACTCAAATTTCCTTAGAAATTCCTCCTGTGTTTATATATTTGCTTTGTGTATTTGATAAATACTAATAATATGCCATTCTTTTCCAGCCTGGGACACAAGTGCTACAGAGATGGATTCTTTAGAAGAATATCGTTCATTATTACGGAGAAATGATAGACTAACATTCTATGAAAAATTTAAACGTACTCTCACAACGTTGCCATCTGAAAAAACAATTGGATATGTGCTCCTATTGTGAGTAAAGAGCTTTTTGTTGCTAAATTTTTAATACCACTATTTTGAAGTTACATCTTTCCCACATAAATAAAAAGTTTTCGTATGCAAATATATAGTTATTTGGCTTTAGATCTTTCAATATCTTCAATAAGAGAGATAGATAAAAGTTGGCCTAACGCTTTTTGAATTGCATTGTAGAATTAGCACATAGTGGTTTTAACTTCACTTTATAGTACATCACTCCCCCTCTTAAGTATGACAATGTGTCTGGCTCATCGTAACCTTTTAGGTTATGTGCCATAACTCTTACCATTGATCCATCATTCACTCCTTAAAGTATTGAAAAATTTTCAATGAATTTCAGCTTTTAAGAGAATTTTGAAGGAAGTTGCAAAGTCTTAGTAGAATATCGCATATTAGAGTACATAAAAAACTAAAAACTTATGTGGCCGTCTTGGAACAAAAATTCTAATTAGTAAAACATTGCTATAGGAACTTTAATAAATGAAATGCAAAATGTTTTATTTTGTATTTAAGTGAATGTATGATCCATGAAACATGCGTAGTTGACATTTAGGTGAGTACAATAACAAGTACAACAACGACTGTTGTTTTACCTAGTGCGGAACTATTAATAGCCAAAACGAATAAATTATACCTCGTGGTTTCTTCTTAAATTGGCGGAAAAATTATGAATTTTAATTACTTATAAACACTGACGTGCTTGTTGCCGACAGCCAGCTTCTTCACGTATAACTTGCTTTTATCTTAATTAATGATACGAGACATCGCACCATTACTGCAGATATGCGCTGAAAAGACCTCTAAACATGTATAGCCTTTTCGAAATGTCTCCACAATTTTATAGAACATTTGATAGCTAAATAATTAAGGCAGGCTCAATATTTTACTGCTGGGAAAATTTGCTCCTTTGATTTTATATTCTTACAGCGCCTGGACATTTCGTAACACTGCCCCTCCCAAGGACTGCACGTTCCGGGGGACAGTACAACCCTTGGTCAGAAGCCGAATTCGATAGCCCGTATATGGTCATAAGGCAAACTTTGTTTTGCAAGGTAGACCAGGCTACGCCCTAACAAAACAAAACAAAACAAACAAAAGGTAATAAAACATACAGATAACATAACTAAAGAAACAAATATTTACACTATGTTACAAGTTATATACACAAATTAAACACATAACAATTTTAAATTATACAAATTAAAGTTCTGAATGAATTTCAGTCTCAGTCTATTCACTAAGTTATACCCGCGTCAAATACTTTTCCACTGCAGTTCTCAGATATATTTCTGTTTTGCATATCACAGTCTGAAAATTCAGTCCTTTCAGAATTTTCATCCACAGGAAAATCTGAAACAGTTTGTTCACTACTCTGAAGTTTGTTCGCATACAGTTAACCGCGATACTTTTAGCAGATGGTACATGCTTATTTTCCTTCGTTTCCTGAGAACCAGCTCCAAATTCTGCATCAGAGTCATGAACGGAGCCCAATTCTTCACAAACACAAGTTTAGAATCAAGTCCTTGCCTGCACTATGAGACGCACGTATAGTTTGTGAAGCGGGTGAATTTTCTTTTTCCACCTCAGTGTCACATGCACTTTCAGATGGTTTAACACTTGCTGACTGCGTTTTCATAACTTCTCTATCAGTTTCGACGAAATTAACAATCGAATTTTCACTTTCTTCCACTTCAGGCATTAGGGAATCAAAAGCTTCTTTCCTGTCTTTTATTTCTTCATGTTTTCGTTCTTTTCCTTTAATCCCAATAGATGTTTACCCATCATTTCTTGATCTTTCTCAGGCAGTTCATTAGCTACTTCTTTCATTTCTTCATCCTTTGTTAATTCAGACGCCACTTCTCTCATTTCCACATCGCCTTTTATGGCTCTAGTTTCTTCTGTAAGCTCCCCTTTCACCTGTCGGAGTTGCTCTCGCACCTTTTCTTGGCCGGCATTTATTTCTTCTCGTCCGGTTTTCTTCTCTTCCAGTCCGGCTTTAATCTCTTTCAGTCCGGCTTTGATCTCAGCTGCCATCTCTTTATATCCAGCTTTTATCTCATCATATCCGGCTTTCATATCTTTCAGTCCGGCTTTGATCTCAGCTGTCATCTCTTTACATCCAGCTTTTATCTCATCATATTCGGCTGTCAAGTTCTGCCTGGCTTCCATCTTTTCTTGGAATTCAGCAAAGGCAGTCACGAGCTGTCTTAATAGATCTTCCATTGGTCTTGTCACTCGCATTTACCCTCAAATCCCACTTCTGACCCCAGTTGTTGCGTTATTTTCTTCCTTCACGTTCGTACGGGGTTTGTGTGGATTTGAAGTGAATAATGACGACACTACTTGATGAAGTATCAAAACACACTTTATTGGTTAGTATTGTCAGGACAGCTCCAAAACACAATTTTACAGTCGTCGATGAACTACTATAAACACGCTGACACCTTCAGCGACACAGCCTTCACACTGTCGGGATACTGCCCGCACTGCAAAGCACCAGAGTACAGCTCCCAACTCTGCTTGGTCGTTCTCGGAACTTTACGTACTCTCGAGACTCTCCACGCGATGCACTCGAAGATACACAAGAGTATAGCTCTCGATTCACCACATTCTAAGACAAAACTCAACGATGTAATAATTCGCGACTGACTAAAAGACTCTCTCGATGCACTCGACGACCAACTCGCCGCTAGACTTCCAGACACTCGCTCAATGACTGACTATCAGCTCGCTAGACGAAGCACACACACTCGCACTCTTGATGAGGCACTCTGACTCGCCCTCTCGAAGAAGCACACCCACAACTGCGGACCAGCAAGGTTTATATAGCTTTTGACTGGTGTTCGAGAACATTCTGGGCTAAACCGGAAAGAATTCGTTCCAGAAGGTTCTCCATCCGTCCAAGGCATATCGTCAATTTTGTCGCCAAATGAGCGATTTCTCGCCAAATGTGGCAACCCAGCCTTCTCTTGCCATTATACGGTAACCCTAAAACTGCTTTGCGGGGAAGCCATTTTACCTGGACATTTCGTAACAATATGTATAGAATCCTCCCATCCATAGCGTTGAAACAGTTTGTGCCTTAATTCGAGAAATTTTGTAATTCAAAGTGACTATCTAAGATGAATAGTTAAGGAAATAAAGCATTCAGTCAACTTTTTCTAACACCCTAAATGCGATCACCTCTGAAAAATAACCAGCATTATTGAGAAACATAACTAAATTACTGGACTGAACATTAGCCTTAATCAGATAATGCAACCTGTTCTACAGAAAGGTCAAAAATTCTACAGAACTGTAGATGGTCATCTTAGAGAAGTTTCGCTGTACCGCTTTCATACTAAATATCAGACTTTTTATGATTTATCCGTTTATCAAGTAAATGACATTTGCTATTGTTATTATTTACCTTTACACTTAGCATTTGGTTCCGCTCATTGCGCTATATACCAGATGCTTCATAGTTAGATTTAAGTCACTGTAATTAGTCTAGAATAAACTTCACGAAGGACTACTTATTTGTGTTCACATAGTTTAGTTGAATGCAAGAAAAGAAAAGAAAAAAAAAAAAAAGAAAAAAATCTGAAACGTTTCAGATTTTAAATTACGCCCAAAAAGGCATTTGTTTAACGTCTTGTGTGTTACCTTTATTTATTAAATATCATGTTCTTTGCACTTAAGCCATAAAATTCAGCTCAACAGAAATGTCGCAAAATAATTTTAAAATTGGCATATCTTTAGGATTTCCGCATACACAGCTCCGCGCGCTGGAGAGAAAAAGTTTTTTTTTTTTTCTTTTCCGTAGAGTGTTGCCATTGCTCGCTTTTAAATCGTTGAATTTGTTAATCAAAAATTCGTTAAAGTTTTACAAAATATGAAATCGATAAGAAAACAAATTCCAAATTTCTAATTTGGGCTTTCAGATGCCCATATTCGCAGTAGGATTGCGTCATTCAAAATTGGATGGCTCTAGGTACCGTTGTTTAATCACAATGCGAAAAACATATATACATTTATGCAGATTCTTCATTATTTAATTTCTTCGAATATAATACAAAGCGATAGTATTTGGTGACAATGATTTGAAAAGTGGTACACCGTTTATAGGGTTCCGACGCAAAATGGCAAAACGAAAACAATAGTCCTTCAGGGACAAAGCTCCTTTTGAATAAAAATACAAATAAGGTATACTTTTCCAACAATGGGGAGGGCAGTTTCCCTGCTAATTAGACCGATAAAGGCTATGGGGGATTAGCTCCTACTTCAGGTGATACAACTTTTTACAAAGCTACTACAGCTCTAGTGAAAAGTTTCACTTTAGCATAATTATGAGTGACATGATCGCCTGAGCGAATTTTGAGCATGTTCAGACATGCCACCTGCCCTTGCAATATGACAAAAATTCAAGTTGAAATAGTTAAATTTAAAATTTTTAAACATTAAGAATTCAAGAATTTTGTACATTAAAAATATTGGGATAATACAAAAAATATTTAAATTATATTAATAATATATAATGCAAATAACCTTAACATTAGCTAGAAAATTTAAGAAATAAAAAATATTCATTTTTCAGGCTCATAAATAAGAAAATTAAGGTATGATTATATAAAAATAATGAATATAGCATAAATATGCATAAAATTTGCCCTATTAATTTTAGTATAAGGAATATTTTAAGCAAAGGTATAACACTTTTTTTTTTCAAGTTACTAAAGTAGTACGCAAAATTTAGAAGCAACTCCGTTAAAGACACCTGCTTTTGCCTTAACATCTGCAATAAGATTTTTTGTTTTTTAATCTTTTTCCATACAAGTTTTAATTATACGACTAAGGATCAATTTTCACATTTGTAAATTCTCTTCTTTTATAAAAACCTAATCCTTAAGTCTCTAATTTTTTTTGGTCCGACATTTTTTTGGTTCGTTTCATGCATATTGCAAAATCATTGAGATAATTACAGCCGCTTTTTTCCGAAATATCTGTATCGCTTT